CATAATTCTTTTTAACAAGTGACTGAAAATGTGCTGTCAATGTATGACACCTACTTTACTTTCTCCAAAGCTTTTGCTCTTGTAAAAAAGAAAAGTGCTATTATTCCAGTTTTCTGAAAATGTTACTTCTTCAATAGCAAAGAGATATTCCCATGCTTTCTGTTTTGGGCGACACTACTTAGTGATGAGCACTTATTTTATGCTCATCAAGAGCTTCCTTGTCCCCAGCAAGGGGACTTTTTCTGAAGGAGAAGTGGGACTTGTCAGAAAGAGGTTACACGCATAATCTACAATCAGCAGTGAAAGCAATCCATGCTGTGCAATCACTCCTTGTAATCCAAGAACTGTCCCCCTTTGGCTTTAAACTAGCCAAAAGATAGGTTATTACAACAGGATATACATAGATATATTCCATTTTTCTCTAATCATATATGTTTGGTTTATTTTAATCTTTTGTTTTTACTATCTATATACTGACAAGGATTTTACCTCCACAGAGAGAGAGAGGGAGGGAGAGGGAGAGGGAGGGAGGGGAGAGAGAGAGAGAGAAAGGGAGACTCCCTCAAGCTATTCTTATATACATATATCTATATGAATAGCTTGAGGAAGTCAAGCTATTCTCCAAAGCACCTGAGGGCAGGACAAGAAGCAATGGATGGAAACTAATCAAGGAGAGAAACAACCTAGAATTAAGAAGAAATTTCCTGACTGTTAGAACAATTAATCAGTGGAATGCCTTGCTTCCAGAAGTTGTGAATGGAAGATTTTAAGAAGAGATTGGACAACCATTTGTCCCAGTGGTGGGATTCAATTTTTTTTACTACCGGTTCTGTGGGCGTGGCTTGGTGGGCATGACAGGGGAAGGATACTGTAAAATCTCCAGTCAGAGGTGATATTTGCCGGTTCTTTGAACTACTCAAAATTTCCGCTACCGGTTCTCCAGAACTGGTCAGAACCTGCTGAATACCACCTCTGATTTGTCAGAATTGGTATAGGGTTTGCTGCCTGAACAAGGGGGTTGGACTAGAAGACCTCCAAGGTTTCTTCCAACTCTGTTATTCTATTCTAAGTATTTATTATTTGTTTGACTTACATCCACCACAATCAAAAGAGAATCTTAGGGTTTATGTACATTCATAAAAAATCAATGAAATTTCCACAGTATAAAAGTAAAATAGCAAGCAATTAAACAAACGTAAGTGCATGTTAAAAAAAATCCTCTAATCAATAATGAATGGCATAAATTCATACCATCAAAGTCTTACTAAAATAATTTAGTCTATAATAAATTACATAAGGCCAGTAGTGTGGTGGTGATCAAAATTCTGGAGGAGGCTATTCCAAAGTGTCAACATAAACAGAGCATCTATGAGATTCCATCATCTTCATCTATTTCTCTGGCACCCATCCAGCCTCAGAAAGTTGGCCAACTGCTCTATTAATAGTATCACAGACAATTAGATGGAAGAACAGGACTAGAAAATGTGGTAATTATGCATTGTCTGATCTAATGTTTTATGGGTAAAATGTCTCATATTCGTGTAGAATGGGAAACTGTATGGGCAAACTCCATTGAAGTGACAAAAATGGTGCATTTATTTATATAAGAAAATTATTTGCCACCTATCTCAAGGCAAGTGTCCCACTCTGTTTTATGTGGGACACTGGAGAATCTATGGATGCCAATAAGAGAGAATTATTTATGAGTTTTAATTCTGCCATATCACCCATTGAATATTTTATATGGTTTGGAGCCTGAGTAGTGTAAAAATGATCCAAGTAAATTCTATTCACCAGATCTGAGTATCTGTCGAATATCTGTTGAAGGTTCCCTTTCAACAGACCAAGACATAATAGACAAGGGTATGAAAATAGACATGGAGGCAATTGTTCCATCTTTTGAACAAATTACACCTTGAACAAATAATGCCCCCTGTACTCCAGGAATAAGAAAAAAATAGCTTTTTAGGAAGGCCCTTGTGATTAAGCAGACGCAAGAAATCCATATCTTTATTGTTTTTTGTGTTAATTATCACAATTTTATATTTTTAAATTATATGCGTTATATCATGTTTGATTCCACATACTGCCTAGAGCAGTGATGGCTAACCTTTTCCACATTGTGTGCTAAAAGTGCGTGCACATGTGTGCGCTTGCATGCCTCCACTCATGATGCAATGCACGCGTGACTCCCCCATCCCCTGAGCATGTGCATGTGACCCCCTGCGCATGCAACATGCACCTCTGCACATGGGCATTCAACCCTCCCCTGCATGCTGCATGCCTCTGTGCATGCATGCACGTCTCCCACATGCATGTCTCTCCACGCGTGTGTGCAGCAGATATCCGACAATCAGCTGGCTGGTGGGGGGCACGCATTCATGCGCAGTGGGGCTCTTCCAGGTGACCTCTCATGTGCCGGCAGAAGTGGCTCTGTGTGCCACTTCTGGCACGCATGCCATAGGTTCACCATCATGGGCCTAGAGTCTCTGGAATTTATACAGTAAATGTATAAACTTTAGCAATCGACCAACAAACCTCAATCTCTTTTATTTTACCAGATCCATATACTGGGTCAAGATACTGTTTAAATATCCAGTACAGCCCACGGTTTACATATATACCTGGCATGTATAACTATATATTGGGTTATGATGCTATATCCCCAAATCTTGCATACTGCACAAGACAGCAACTTTGGAGGAAAAAAGGATTGTAGGGGATAATTCCTTTATCTGCCAAATTAGAGCTACATTGAACATTGATATACTCCTATTCCAGCAACAAGAAATAACGTGCTCTGAGTTAATGAAATTTCAGTGAATCTCTAAACAGATGGAAAATAAATTGACAAGTTCTTAAAATGGCATATCTGGGATCCATGGCAATCTTAAAATTATGAGATCTCAAGTTCTTCAATGTAATAACTATTTGTAAGCATGGAAGAGAATTATTACTTTTTTCTCATGAAATGACAATTAAGATCTTAGGAAAAAAGAGCAAGTTCATGATGAACTCATAATAAGCCTGCAAACCCATCTATTTAAACTGTACAGGCATATTACCAGAAACAACTTAAGATAATCGAATTACCTCTAGATGCAGAGAAACAAAAGCCTTTGCTAATTTACAAGGAAGAAGGCATTCAAGAAATCTTTTTATTGCCAGCTGTTTTTAAACTTGAGATGTTGCATGCTTACATTTCAAGAACAAGAGGCAATCCTGCCAGGAAATTTGTTCCTACAATATGAAATCTCTGGGATGCATTTGAAACATTTATTCTCAAATCTACTCTTGCTATCAACTCAATAAAAAAAGAAAAAGATAAAAGGAGATTTTAATTTTATACAGATGAAAAATTGCTACCTACCCCACATATGATTCATGCCAAATATTTATAGTAGCTAAAGTTAAATGTAGCTACTACATTTAGACCAATTTTAACATTCTTTGAAAAACATAAATGAAAACTTTTGGAAATCAGGAGAGAAAGATAGAAAGTTTGTTTATTGTTTGAAGCAACAAAAGCAACATGTTTATAGCTTAAATTTAGGTCAATGAGAGTCAGTTATGTACTAAGACAAGACTCTTACTAATTATTTATAAACAGTTTTACAAATTGGAGGCACCTGTAACTGAACAGCAAACAATTACTTTCTTGGGAAACAGTTGAAATGGAAACAATGTCTCAGATTTGCCTGTCCACTAGGAAAGGTAGTTGTATAGAGGTCTCCAACCTTAGCAACTTTAAGATTTGTGGACTTCAACTCCCAGAATTCCTCAGCCATCAAAGCCAGCAAAGGAATTCTGGGAGTTGAAGTCCACAAGTCTTAAAGTTGTCAAGGTTGGAGACCCCTGTAAAGACCATTCAAACAAACCCCAAATTCTGCAATTCTCTGAGCTAGATAAATAGCTCCTTACATTAATGCCCTGTGTCTAGTCTAAACTGCAAAGGACTATGAGTTCAATTCATAGTAGAAAATTTGAACCTCCTAGAACCATATCTCAGTATCATCTCTGATGAATCCCAAATAGGACAAAACTGGCCACACAGTGCTTCTTAGTGATTAGTATTAACTGAAAGTACTACAAAGGACAGGGGCATCAAACTCGATTTCGTTGAGGGCTGCATCAGGATTGTGTTTGACCTCAGGGGCCCAGGGAGGGTGTGGCCAGGGGGCATGGCCAGCTCAACACTCGTTTTCAGCTGCAATGGCCTCCTGCAGCCCTCTGCCAGTGGAAATGGAACTCGGGGGGAGCTGTGCATGGCCCTCCTGAGCTCCATTTTCACTGGCAGAGGTACCGCGGGCTGATCCTTCACTGTTTCCAGGGTGGCCTCACAGGCCAGATCTAAGCACCCCATGGAATGGATCCAGCAGTGGGCCTTGAGTTTGACACTCCTGACATAGCACATAAACTGTATTAACATAAGAGAGATTTCTTTCTCCTTCTAATACAGGTGGTGGTGGAAGTCATGTAAATATTCACTGGGGCATGCATAATATAACATCTGTAACTCTTTGAAAGCTTAAGGGAAACAGAACTGAAAAGCATTTTGACAGATTGAAGAAGCAGTGTAGTCCAGATGCTTTAGGAAACCCAGAAGTGCCTGAAATTCTAGAATCCTTAAGAGATGGAGTACTTGAAGCAAAACCAGCAATTCAATATTATAAGGAATTAAACAAAATGAAGGTTAGCCTTAGTTACGTATCTGAACTCAAAATAAAGTCTTGCAATATACAATTTTGGAAATTAGGCCCGGAATTTCAGAAATGTAAAAATTAATGCTTAACAATGAAATTAATTCATCATAAAATATTATTCTGTCTACTGGACCCCAGAAAACGTGTTAAAATGGTCATGCAACAGAATTTTTGTTTTGATATTGTAAGAAACATGAAGATTATTTAACTAATATGATTTAGTCTTACCCAGCCATTGATTTGAAATCATGACAAATTTATTTTCATAGTTTGTCAATTGTCATAGCTTGATCTTACCTTTGAGAAAAAGTCCAGGTTGCTTTCTTCAGTTGATCAAACCAGATGTATCCACTTTAGGGCTGTGCATTTCTCTTTTGGCAAACACAGAGGTGTTGCAAATTATCCAAGTGAAGAACACCTCATCATGCATTTTACATCATAAAAATGCACCATGGAATACAGAAATTTAGAGGAGTTCATCAGAGGGCAAGAAGCAGGAATTAGGTACAATTGGCAGTGTTCGCAGACAGTGTCTTCCAAACCATGGATGGTGGAGATGATCTAGAAAAAAAGATAACAGATTGGTTTGTCCCAGGAAAGAAAATAATAAGGAATAGAAAAAAGAACGTTAAGAATCTTGTAAAGATGTTAAACCAGCTTTAATCATAAAAAAGTTCCTGATTCTAAAATTAAACGGTTGTTTCCAGACATTCATGGCTGAACTTATGCTTACGCTACATGCTCAGAAAAAAACAAGAATATAAACTTTGTTGAATTTCCTTCAAGACTTTTACTGTATGTACCTTTTTATTTTGTTCCTACATATAATGTGTGTGCATGTGTGTATGTATGAACTTATAAATTCATACAAACATATGTTTCAGACTTTTGTTTTCAGTAGCTATGTTATGTTATCTCTATTATTTTAAACTATTGTTTTTACTCAATTTTTATTCTGTTTTTAACTGTTATCTGCCCAGAGTTATGCATATATAATAAATGGTCAAATAAATTAAATTTGCAGTAAGGATTTAGTTTTTAAAGGCTTCAGACAATAACTCAATAATCCACTATATTTTTCAGTGCTAGATGCTGAATGTGAGACCTTCCAGTCAAAGAACTGTATGTATCCTATAAAGGTTTTTAAAAATTACTAACTTTATAGATTTGTCTAAATTTAAAATGAAAATGTATATTTAGCAAAGGAACAGTTTCCCTGAAATTCAAAGAAATAAGCTCTGATTCTCTCTCATTTGTTTCTGGGGCAGGTGCAAAAGCCTAAATTTCCCAGTGAGATCATTAACTCAAATAGAAAATTATATTACACTAGCCTCATATTAGAAGATACTTTTTAATTTGTACTTGGGTGCAGTGGAGGAAAATAGATTAATCCTGGATTTTATTTTAAAAAATAGTCTGTTATTGAGATTCTTTTTTATCTTGACTGATTTGGATAACAATTAATAAATTTTAATAATTATTAAAACATATCAACATTGTTTCTTACTGTTATAGAACAAATATATTTTCTTCAGAAACAATGGTGAGGCACAACAAGCAATCCACTGGTAAAAATAATCAAGGAACCTTGTGCGAACACATTTCCAGGATACAACTGTTCAGGTTCTGAATCATTATGTTTACATTACTAGCTGTTGTTTTGTTTCCTTAAATGAAATGTTATTTCACTAATGATGAATGGAAGATATGTACCATATCACTCTCCAAGTCTTGTATATTGGCAATCATCACCTTTGTAATTGTACCATTGGACAGCATGTGTTTCTATTGTAATTGTTCTATTCTTTGCTTATAGCAATTTTCCAACAGCCAGAAACTCAAACCATAATGCATAATATATATTTAAGTCATCTGAAAACATTTTGCATGTGGTACAACTTTATGAAGCTTTCATATGAATAGCTACGTTAATGATTTTGTACACACACACACACACGTATATTCCCAAGAATTGGACTCGCTGAAAACACTTCTTATAAACATTCAACTAAAAATCTGATTTAAGTTACAGACTTCATAATCTCTTTTTTTGTGTTTTCCATGAAAATACAATGTATATGACACATTCTACATTAATTTTTATATTAATTTTATTTAAATATAAAAGGCATACAGTAATGAATATTACATTATGCTCTATTCATAATGTCTCATCTCCTTTCTTTCACTGTTCACTGTAGTGTCTGAAAAGTGAAATGTTGACTTCATCTTTACCAAATATCATTTTTCAATCATATGCACCTGTTTTCCACTTCCAACAATTTAGCTTTCCCACTTCATTCTCGGAAGACACAACAATCATTGTGAGACTCTCAAATGTATATGCCAAGTTATGAGATGCAGGTTACAACATATCACTGAGAAGGGATTCTGGTAAAATGTGTTTTCATAATATTACAAGTCTAAGTAGTCCCCAAGAGTCAAGCTCCACTCAAGGGTTTTTATTTATTAAGAGTAGGCAGTGATACATCAACCATGTATATATCATGTTTGTCAGTTTTAAGGTTGAAAAACCCTTCCTCTTACCTTAACATCTAGTAGAATCTTTTATATTGATTTGATAAAATTGGTAACATTTTCAAGATTGATTTAAAAAATACAGTGATAATTTTCCTTCTTAGAAGATTGTACATTCTAATTACAGATATTTTATTTTTTCAAAATAGACAATATGTTTATTAAGTATATTTTTTTTAAAAAAATAATGGATGTTCTTTATTCAGAATGTTTATTTAGAATGTTTATTTAGAATCTTTATTCAGAATGTTCTTTATTCAGAAGTAGTTTTTCATATTAATATAGAAGTTTATTTGACTGGAATAAACACTTTTTAGTTAAAAAAATAAATTTGATATGTGTAGAAGTTCAGAAATATTTTAAACTTTACAAATATGATTTCAAACAAACATCTTAATACTGTTTCTTTAGAATAAATGTATTACTTAGAGTTAATAAATTACGGACCATGATTATATTTTATATCCTACAAACAAAAGAGCACAGAATTCTCATTAGTAGAAATCCTCTAATTCTGTTCCCTGAAAATTAATTCTAGAGGATTAGGTACCTTTAGGCATAGACTGACAAATGACTCTGTAAGATATAAGGGAAAGACATAACTAGAAAAACTAGCAAAATTGGAAACATCTTTCAAACTGACCTAAATTGGTCAATAGCTGTCATAATTTGCTTGCTCCAACTATTCTTTATTAACTATTTATTTTTTATTCAGCTGAGACTTCACTACAGAAAATAAAGAGAAATAAAAATAAAAGAAGAAATATAACACTTTAATGTGCAGAAGAAGAACCTGTTACAGAGAATGGGAAAATACTGGCCCATTGCTATGATAGTGAGGTCTCCATGTGATTAGCTTGTTTCACTGGTTCATGTTTTCAGACTCCAGGACTACCATAATTGTACTCTTTTCTAGATTTAGCAATTGTTTGTAAATAATTACCTTAACTTGAAGTACAGTAAATATACATTCATACAGGTAAGAAAACCAAACGTTTAGTGGTTAAAGTTAGCTGATCTCCAAACAAAATATTTTTGAATTATTGCCTTCAGGAAGAAAAATGAACTCATCCCAAAACAAAACAAAACTTCAGATTACCTGTCAAATGCTTGAAAAGGCTCCGGGGAATCGCAAGGATTAAGCCTTCCGAAAAGATTCTTAATATAGAAAAGCAGAGGAGGAGCACCGCTTTGTCCTCTAGCTTACCTTATTCATTTGCAGTATAGAATGCAGCAGAAGCTATACAATCCATACAATCTGATAAAGGTCATAGTATTACTTGAGCCTTCTACAAGGGTAAGTTTTATCCTTCTCTTTCTCATCAGTGGCTATTCTTTTATCCATGAAACCATAGTTTTAGTTGCTTCATTTTCTTTGGCAAAGAAATGACAGGGAATAACAAGTTAGTGGCTGAGAGCTAATCTCATCTGAAGCCAATGTCAAAAGTTTCTAGAGACAGGTTTTAAATGGGCTGAGTCTTTCGGCCGGGGGGGGGGGGGGAAAGGTTGCATTTCATGTACCCTAATCCTTCTGAGGGCTATTTCATTCATCTGGGGGAGAGAAACTAATTGAACCCTATTACAGCCTTGAGCAAAGCCACACTTCAGACAGAAAGCATTATAAAAACAGACTACCTGTTAATAATATTTACCCCTAATCCCATGATAGCGAACCTATGACACGCGTGCCAGAAGTGGCACACAGAGCCATTTCAGCCGGCACGCGAGCCATCGCCTGGAACAGATCTACTGCGCATGCACGTGCACCTCCTGCCAGCCAGCTGATTGTCTGGTAACTGCCGTGCATGCACGAGGGGCTGGGCGCGTGTGGGAAAAGTGCTCGCATGTGCAAAGGTGTGCGGCACATGCAGGGAGTCACACACACATGTGTGGAGGTGTACGGTGCACTAGGGGGTCGCATGCACATACTCAGGGGGAGGGGGTTGCACATGCATTACATTATGGGTGCATGCACACATGCACCTGCACGCATGCGCACACTTTCGGCACGCGATGACAAAAAGGTTAGCCATCACTGCCCTTGTCCCTTCAATGAAAAAGTAACTGGAGATAAAATTACATTCATTCAAAGAAAGACTAAGGAAAGTTGATGGGCTTAAGACTGGAGAAAAAGTGGCTCTGTATAATGGCTCTGGTTACCAAGTATACAGGTTGTCCTCGATTTATAACCATTCATTTAGCAACCATTCAAAGTTACAACAATGCTGAAAAAACACTTACAACTGGTCCTACACTTCCAACTATTGTGTGTCCCTAAGTCATTTGATCACAATTTGGGCACTTGGCAAACTGGCATGTATTTATGATAGTTCAAGGGTCCCAGGGTTACGTGACTGCTATTTGTGACCTTCTCGCTTAGCTTCCAACAAGCAAAGTCAATGGAAAAATAAAAATTCACTTAATGATTCACTTAATGACCATAGTGATTTGCTTAATGACTACAGCAAAAAAAAACCACCATGAAATTGGGTGTGACTCACTTAACAACCTCTTTGCTTAGCAATGAAAATTACAGTCCCAATTGTGGTCATAAGTTGATGACTACCTGTACATTTATTTAAAATAGAAATTGTCTTTCTTTTTTCCTTTGTATCCTTATCTGCTGCCTTCTTTTCAAACATTGATACTGTTATGATAAGTTTATATGTCATAATTTGATTGTGTTTATTTAGAAGTAGTTAGAAAAGGTAAACAGCCTCGAAGAGAGAACAGTTTATTTTATAATTTTGAAATTATCTGTGGATTATTGGAAACACACATCATTCTACCTCTTCTTTCAACTTAAACAATGGGTTGATTTCAACCAAAGGAAAAAATAGCTCATACGTACTCCTGTAAAGAAATGAGCTAAATATTTTCGGACTGTGAAATACCATGTGTAATCAATGAGAGAATTTAGAATTTTTGTCCTGAAAGCATGACAGAATTCCTTTCAGATCAAGCAAATGCATTTATTTAATCCACTACCATTTTGATATTTAATTATGTTTAATTTATGTCCC